ATGGGTCGATGCTCAACCACTGAGCCTCTGGCCTGGCAAAATAGATTAAAAAAATAAAATAAAATCTTATTCTGTGGAACTTATAGTTTGGGTGGGGGATGGTAAATGATATGCCATATGGTATTGTTATGGAGAAAAGTCATGGGAGAGAGAGAGAAAATTCAGAGGAAAAGAATGGATTTGTGTAGTTTTAAATTGTTGTGTTAGGGACTACCTGACATTTAGTAGAAACCTGAAGGAGGTGAGAATGAACCATGTGGCTATCAGGGGGAACAGCATTCCAGGCAGGGGAGCAGAAATGCAAAGGCCCTAAATCATGCTTTGTGCTTAGCCTGGTCAAGGAAATACAAGGAGACCAGTATAGTTAGAGCTGAGAAGAAAATTAGATGATAAAGACAGAAAGGTAATGGGAGGCCAGATTTTGTAGGGTCTTCTAGACCATTATAAAGACTATGCTTTTTACTCTTGAGTGAGATAGGAACCCTTGGAGGATTTTGAGCAGAAGAGCAATACAATCTGATGTAGTTTATAACAGAATTACTCTGGCTTCTGTGTCGATTGAAGGGAGAAAATACAAAAGCAGGGAGAACTTAGGAGGCTATTAGCATTATCTAAGTAAGAGATATGGATAATTGTGGTAGTGATCAATTGGAATTATTGATTACGTTTTGAAGGTAAGCCCATTAGGATGTGCTGTTGGATTGGATGGTTATGAAAACGAGTCAAGGGTAAAAGGGTAATGCCAGAGCACAGTAGGAGAGAGTCGCCATTTACTAAGATGGAGGAGAACACAGGAAGAAGTTTGGGGAAAAGAACATCTGGAGTTTCATTTTGGACTGTTGAACTTGAGATTCTTGTAACACATTCAAGAGAGGAGCTATCGCCCTGGCCGGTTTGGCTCAGTGGTTGGAGCGTCAGCCCATAGACCAGAGAGTCCCAGGTTCATTTCCCACTAAGGGCACATACCTCAGTTGCAGTTTGTCTCCGGCCCCGGTTGAGGTCGTGTGGGTGGCAACCGGTCGATGTGTCTCTCTCACATCAGTGTTTCTCTCTTTTTTCCTCCCTCCTCCCTCCCACTCTATCTGAAGATAAATGCAAAAATGTCTTTGGGTGGGAATTAAAAAAATTTTTTTTTAAAGCGAGGAGCTATCAAGTAGACAGTGAGACGTATGTGTCTGGAATTCAAAGCATAGGTCTGGACTTAAAATTTAAATTTAGAACTTGTCGTCAAGTTGGTGGTATTTAAAGGAATGAGACTTGCCTGGCCAGTGTTGCTCAGTGGTTGAACGTTGTCCCATGTACCAAGAGACCACCAGTTCTATTCCTGGTCAGGGCACATGTCCAGGTTGTGGCTGATCCCCAATGGTGGTGTGCAGGAGGCAGTCAATTGATGTTCTCTGTCATTGATTTTTCTTTCTCTCTCTCATTCTCCTTTTCTCTAAAATCAATAAAGAAAAATATTATTTTTAAAAAAAGAAAAGACTAGATGAGATTACCAAAAGAGAAAAGAAGAGCTTTGAGGAGTCCTGGGATATTTCAACTTTTAGAAATGGAATTATATTTTTTATTATAGTGTTTCTATGGGAATGTTCAAATACCAGAAAGACACCTTTTCTCCCTGCATTTCACTCCCACTTCAAAATGTCATTTCCCCAGGGAAGATAGAAAAGGAAGGTTAAGGGGGAGTTATCTAATGGAGGGTGAAGGGAAGGTAGCAGGGCTGTATGTATCTACATGCATTGTAATTTTCATGTTTGTACCAGATCTGGATTTGAGGGTACTGCAAGAGTGACCTCTATATATTGCAAATTGGAATTAGATAAGTCATTTAATAGAAGTGGAGGTTTTTGTTTTTGTTTTTAATCCTTACCCAAGGACATTTTTGCATTTATCTTCAGATAGAGTGGGAGAGAGAGAGAGAGAGAAACATCGATGTGAGATAGTACACATTGAGTGGCTGCCACCCACACGACCCTCACCGGGGCCGGGGACAAACTGCAACTAAGGTACGTGCCCTTAGTGGGAACTAAACCCAGGACTCTCTGGTCCAAGGGCCAATGCTCTAACCCCTGAGCCAAACTGGCCAGGTTGGAAGTGGAGTTTTTGTAGAAGAATAATAATCTTTTCTTATAAACTGCTAGTAATAAAAGTTCCATTATATAGAATAGGCATATTTAAAGTTATCTTTTGGTTTTGCCCAATTACTAGTGCATTTAGTACCCCCCTTAACTTTCTTAGTTTAAAAATTCCATTCTGGCCTGGAATATGTGTTGTCTTTTAAAGATTTTGGCATATTCAAATGAGGAGGGTACAAAGTAGCAGAACTCAAAATCATAGTTTTAAAAAATATTTTGTGCTCTCTATTATATCAGATACCTGTTGCTTTAAAAAGTTGCATGTTTAATGAAAGAGTATTTTGGCTGAAATTTAAAACTAAAATAGCCTAGCAAATGTGACCTTGTAATTCAGATTAACAATTTGACTTTGGCAAGGACTGAGTTAATGACTGGTTTAGATGCAGCTGTTGCTTCCTTACAGCATAGAGCCTTTGTTAACTTCTAAACCTTAGTAAATGGAAACACACTGGCTCAGGAAACTTTCACCAGGGAATTGGAGGTGGTGAAGGACAGAGGTGGATGAGCGCATGCGCCAGAACATTTTACAGTGCACAAAGGTGAGGGTAGGTGAGAGAGTGGGGAAATCTGCTGTGAGTCTAGTTTTACACAGACTCTCTTATTTGCGGTGATGTGCAAGCAATTATACTGGAACTGGATACCCAATTTCACATCAGGCATCTACCTGGAAGAGCGATGGGCTGCTGATGGGAAAGATCGCAAACAACAGGCAGTGCTACAGCAGGTGCATGTTTTCTATTTTTGTGCTTCCTGTATGATCCTTGGCTCAGGAAATTAGATCTAGTTTCCAGTTTTTGTTTATTATGATATTTTTTATACTACTGTTCTTGTTATTTTGAGCTGTGAAGATAGGTTAAAAGATACTACTTTATGAATTAGTATACTTGATTCTGTGATGTAGTTTAAAGAACAATGTTTTTAAAACCTACAAAGTTCTGTTTTGGTTTTGAGAAATGAAAAAATCTTATTTTAACCCTGTCTTGTCTATTTCTTTATTTAATTTTTGCCTTTGGAAGATCCCCAGTATGCCTTTGCACCATAACACAATTCATCCAACTTAATAGATGTTTGTCTTTTGTTTTGAGGTGACTAAGGAAGAGGTTGAGGTTTCACCTGGCTGTATTCCAGTATGAAACCTGAGATAAGTCCCTTGGTTTTTTATAAAAGAAGAAAACTGTTAGAAAGACCAGGGAGAGTGTTCAAATGAGTTGTGGTGAAGAGGCATCTTCCATAAGTGAATTTCTATTAAAAAAGTGAATTAAAAAATCTCTGATCTTTTCAGTTTTGTAGAGGGGTGTGTGTGTGTGTGTGTGTGTTTGTGTGTATACGTGCCTGTCTATCTGGGTGTCTGTCTATGGGCTCTAACAAGGGACTTATACAGTCTTTTTCTTTTTTTTATTTACATTTTTAATCTTCACTCGAGGATCTGTTTATCGATTTTCGAGACAGAGGACGAGGGGGGAGCGGAGAGAGGGGTGTGAGAGAGAAATATTGATCAGTTGCCTTCTGTATGCACCCTGCGACATAGATACATGCCTCAACTGGGAATCGAATCTGTAGCCATTTTGGTGCCTGGGCTGATGCTCCGAACAACTGAGCCACCTTGCTGGGGCCTGTCTTTTTCTTAAGTTAGTTAATGTTTATAGAATGTCCATGATAAATATGTATATACATACACATGTATTATATATATAATATACACACACTTGGGCTGTATGCATATATGAATATGTTGCTGTATTGGGTATAGAGCAAATAACCTGGAATTTAAGGTTTTAAAACCTGATCTTTGTAGTTCTTAACAATGGCTTATATTGGAATTGCTGATGTGGAAGTCATAACGGCTTTACAAGTTATTCTTTTTAGAAAGTGGAGTTATTCACATTATTGCATGGATGCGAGCATAGACATTGATTTTATTATAAATACAAGGTAGATAAAATGGATAACATTATGTGTATAGCAGAGTATTTTTTGTCTTTGGTCAAATCTGTAAAGAGTTACTAATGAAGGGAGTTTTAGGTACAGTGTAAAATGAATTGAAGATCCTTTTGATACTTGTTTTGCCATATCTTTTTCTATGGTTCTTAAGTATCTACTTTCCCAAATCCAAAAATCAGTTTGGTCTGTATGTGTGTCTATGTTCAGTAGGTTGTTTCTATTGTCAGTTGACACACTATATGACCTTGGCAGGTGTGCAGCATTCCTCCTCCCCACTTGTTTTTTGTTTTTTCTTAATCTTCACCTGAGGAAATTTTTCTATTTTTCTTCAGATAGCGTGGAAGGGAAAGAGAGGGAGAGAGAGAAACATTGATGTGAGAGGAACACATCGACTGGTTGCCTCCTGCAGGACCCCAATCAGGGCCAGGAACAAATTGCAACTGAGGTACGTGCTCTTGGCTGGAATCAAACCTGTGACTCATTGGTCTGTGAGCTGACATGCTACTACTCAGCCAAACCGGCCAGGGCACCTCCTCCCCACTTGTTACAAATGATTCTTTATCTTATATCCCCAAATGCCAGCAGTTTCTCTTAACGACTAAGTCATTAAGGGCATAAGTTTAGTTGAGGCAAGTATTCACAGTATTATTCAACATGGAAATCCAGTGACACCAACTGTATTAGGTTCTAAGGTTTATTAGCATTTTTTTCCCTTTATTTGGGTGCTCTATTTAAGAAATAATGCAACTTATTTCAAAACTCTTGTTAGCTTGTTCTTGGCTTTGTTTGTTCACCTGTGGAATTCTAAGAAGACAACATTTAGATTCAGAATGGGTTTTTTTTGGTTAGGTTTTATTTGTTTTGTTATCTATCTCACTGTACTTAATTTGTCTAAATTTTGTAATATATTTTTTGCCTGCACAGAAAGTTGGAGTGACTGGTCCCCCTGATCCACAAGTCCGCTGTCCCTCTGTCATTGAGTTTGGGAAGTATGAAATTCACACCTGGTACTCTTCCCCATATCCTCAAGAATACTCAAGGTATGTTTTGAGACACCGTTTACCTTCTGTTTTTAAATTCATAGAACTTCAGCACTAGAAGGGATCCTGGGGACATGTTAGTCTATTTCATCTTTTACATTTGGGGAAACTGGTGGCTTTTTTTTTTATTCTCACCCAAGGACATTTTTCCATTTTTTATTCAGATAGAGCAGGACAGGGAGAGAGAGAGAGAGAGAGAGAGAGAGAGAGAGAGAGAGAGAGAAACATCAACGTGAAAGGGACACATCGAGTGGCTGCCACCCGCACAACCCAACTAGGGCTGGGACAAACTGCAACCGAAATACATGCCCTTAGCAGGAACCGAACCAGGATCTCTCTGGAGTGCAGGCCGATGCTCTAACTGCTGAGTCAAACTGGCCAGGGCAACTGGTGGCTTTTTAAAAAAATATATTTTTATTGATTTTTAGAGAGAGGGGGAGATAGAAACATTGATATGAGAGAGAACCATCGATTGGTTGCTTTCTGCATGCTCCCTATTGGGGATTAAGTCCGCAACCTGGGCATGGTCCTGACAGGGAATTGAACCAGTGACCTCTTGGTGCATGGGTCTGCTTTCAACCACTGAGTCACACTGGTCAGGCGAAACTGGTGACTTTTAAATGTCCTTAATAGCAGCATACTTTGGCAGCCACTTAATCCCAGTTGGCTTTAGATTTGTCCTGGTTTGATTCCAGGTCAGGGCACATGCCCTGGTTGTGGCTCGTTCCCAAATAGGGGTCGTGCAGAAGGCAGCCATTCAGTGTTTCTCACATCAATGTTTCTATCTTTTTTTTAAAAAAAAAAACATATTTAAAAAAGTAAGATAAAATTGGAAACCTGACACATGGTCTGAACGAAAGGGGAACATTTTTTTTTTTAAGACAAATTTGCCTTTATATTAAGAATTATGTTCTCTCTCTCCCATTTTTTTTTGTGTGGGAGGCAACCAAATTTTTGGTGGCCTTGCTTTGGCAAGGCAGATTTTAAAAAAAGAAAAAGAAGAATTAAAAGAGAAATATGCTTATACTTATGTATAAATAAAGTTTCAGTGAGGAACCTTTTATCTACATTTTTATAATTTAACAAACATAATGTTTTGTTTTCCCAGAAATAATTGGACAGGTGGTATTAAATTATATATAAATAGCTTAGGTTTCTAGATATAAAAATTGATCAGTCTCCAGCTTTTTGGGATGAGGCAATATGCTTAGTAAAGCCAAATTTTTTCATAACTCAACTCTGACATTTATAAACTGCCCTTGGAAGTTACCGAACAATTTTGTACCTCAGTTTCCTAATCTTTAAAATGGGGATAATAGTACTGACTTAACAGGGTTTGTTGTGAACATTGCAAGGGTTAAAACATGTAAATCACTTGGAAAATGGTAAGTGCTCAATAATTATTATTTTTTTTCTTTATGGTTTAAATTAAAAGAGTTGAAAATAAGATTTGGTAAAAAAAAACTAAAGACATTTATCATTTGAAGTGTAGCAGTTACATTAATGGTCTCTTTAATCTGTAAATTACAGTTTCCTTTTTAGCAGGTTGTTGTAAGGAATAATAACTTATGATGTTCTGTGGGTTAAACACATATTCAAAGTATTTATTGTATGACTTTTTGCCTATCTAGTAACATTGCTTGTCCACAATATTAGCAAAAATAATTATAACAACATTTATTCATTTAGTGCCTTATATTATACAGAGTGCTTTAACATGGGTTATTTCCAGGAAGCTGGGAATAGGCTAGTATATTTGCTAAAAAACTAAAACTCAGTATTTTTTTTTTTTTTTTTTTACATTTTCTTTTCATATAAATTGCTCTCTAGTTTCCAAGTCTAGTAGAAGTAGAAAAATAGGAGTAAGAATGTTGTTATTACCGACACAGACCTCAGTGACAACAAACAGACGTAAAACAGAAGAGAAAGCAGAATTCCAGGAAACTAACACACAAGATCATTAAAATAGCAATTGAGAGCCATTTATTACAGGGTCTGTTAGCCCTAAACACTGTGGTAAACCTTTAAAACAGCATTCTATTTATATTATGGAATAATAACAGTCTGAGTTTGTTAAAAGAAGATTATATATTTTAAAAGAAGATTAAATATATATATATGTTAGAAGAGGGTGGGGCATTTCTTAACTACCTACAGAATTCAGGTATTCAAGACAATTTATTTACTCCTCGGGAGTTCTGAAGTCAAGATGCTGTATGGTCAAGAAATATGCTGAATGTATTAATTTCTTCATCAGGTTTAAAATCAAATATCACCATTTTTTAGTGAGCTCTTTGCAAAAACTATGCACATTACAAGAGTGCTCAACTTAGAAAAGAAAGCTTGTTCGACGTGTGTATCAACTGTTTCAGGGATTGTGGTACAGATAGATTGATGCCATAGTCACCTTGTCTCTTCTAGTCAAGGGGAAGAGAGGAAATCATTTGACTCAGTAATGGAAATAAAGTCAGCCTCAGCATTTCCTTATCAAGAGAATTGACAAGCATTGAACCATGAAGCTTTGTCTTCTAGGATATTAAAAATCTTCATTAAGAATGTTGCATTTTGCCCTTGCCAGTTTGGCTCGGTGCTTAGAGTGTTGGCCTGCGGAGCAGAGTCTCAGGTTCAATTCTGGTCAAGGGTACCTTGGTTGCGGTTCAGTCCCCGGCCCTGGTCGGGGTCATGCAGGAGGCAAACCAGTCAATGTGTCTGTCTCACATCAATGCTTCTTTCCCTTTTCTTCCTCCCTCCTTCCCACTATATCTGAAGATAAATGGAAAAATATCCTTGGGTGAAGATTTAAAAAAACAAAAAAGAGTGTTACATTTTGTTTTGATGAGATTATTGCTAAAGCCTGATTGAACCTGATTTCCTAATCAGATAGGGAATTGGTTATCAGCGAAGGAATATATAAATAACAAAAAAAATATAATAGGAATAATAGAAAGCAGCAATAGGACAGGAGCTGTAAAAATTCATCAACTATAAATAGAATTTTAGACATTTCTATACATTTTCTTATCTATTGTGGAGGTTTCCCTGAAATTTTTATCAGAAAATAGTCTGCAGTTTAATAGGTTATTTAGTAATTGTGACTTTTTTCTAGGTATTCATAATTCTCTTGGTTACATTTAAAAAAAAAATTATATAGCTATTTAAAAGAGTTTTGGCTTGTATTATTTGAGTTCTTTTAAACTTGAGTTGACTGAAATGTTTAGAGATACTGTGTTTTCCAAATAATAATTCTGTATCCTTACTTTATTAATGACTTTATTATTCTGTGCCAAATTATTTTTTATTAAAGGTTTTAAACACTTTTTTTTCCCTTTATTGATTTTAGAGAGAGAGAAAGGGAGAAGGAGGCAGAGAAAAACATCGATGAGAGAGGACATTGATTGGCCGCCTCCTGCATGCCCCCCACTGGGGATTGGGCCCACAACCTGCGCATGTGCCCTCACCAAGAATCGAACTGGTGACCTCTTGGTGCATGAGTCGATGCTCAACCACTGAGCCACACTGGCCAGGCATTTATTTATTTATTTTTAAATCCTCACCCAAGGATATTTTTCTATTTATCTCCAGATAGACTTGGGGGTGGGGACGTGAGAGACCAAGACAGAGACAGAGACATCGACTGGCTGCCTCCCGCAGGATCCCAACCAGGGCCAGGGAAGAACCACAACTGAGGTGCATGTCCTTGACCAGAATTGAACCCGAGACTCATTGGTCTACAGGCTGACACTCGAACTGCTGAGCCAAACTGGCCAGGGCAGTTTTAAACACTTTTTTAAAATTTGTAAATCTCAAAGCATGTAAAAAGAGGACAGTTGGTGCAAACAAAAAGATCACAAGAAGAAAAAAGGAAAATTTTTTTGGAAAGTGGGATTATGCATTATCTCCCATAATATCAAACATTTGTATGTGCATTGTATATTAAGTAATCTTGCATCTAGTTTTGCTTTCTCCTGTTTTGTTGTTTGTTTTTTGTCACTGAGATATGTATCTGACATTGAAGAGTATAAATCAGAGTTTGAACCCTGAATTATCTATAACAGGGCCATGAAATGCTCACATTTGGTAGGTTTATAGTGAGCTTCACTCTCCCATTAAAAACATGATGGAGGTGGGCTGTAGGCAGGAGTAACAGTAATCATGGGATATCCTCTGCTCCTGAGCTTAGCTTCATAATAACATCTTCGCTACAGATCATATTGAGATCCTAAGTAGGCAGATTGTCACATAATTGAGTAGCTTTTAGGAAGTTTATTCAATCTTTTTTATCCTGTTCCTGACTTGATTCGTTGCATAGATTATGTACAGCCCCATTACTGAAGAACAGCATTCTTTTTGTTTTGTTTCTTTCTTTTTTAAATCTTTATTGTTGAAAGTATTACAGATGTTCCTCCTTGTTTCCCCATTGACACCCTCCTCCCTACTCCCATGCTTTCATAGCACTGTTGTCTATGTCCATTGGTTATGCATATATGTATGTAAGTTCTTTGGTTTATCTCTTCCCACCTCCCACTCCCCTTCCTTCTGAGATTTGTCAGTCTGTTCCCTACTTCCATGTCTCTGGGTCTGTTTTGTCTGTCAGCATATTTTGAAGAACAGCATTCTTAAAGTCTTTGGATGACCACTAAATGATGGAGTAAAATGGATGAAAGGAGAATAAAAGTATTCATAGTATTAATTATAAATAATAGCTCTAGTTACCATTTGTTGAGGTGGGTACTGGACTAAACATCTCTGGAATAATTCTGTGAGGTGGATATTGCCATCTTTGTTTTATGGACCAAGGCCCAGCAAACTTATTTAAGACCATACAGTTTAAAGTGGCAGAACCACTTTTCTCTTCCACATAGCGATAACCTTTAACCACTGTTCTTGCACTATTCCATATAGCATCTCTTTCTAGATTGATCTTATGTAGCTTGTACCATTACCTTTGACTCAGGTGATATTTGTTATAATTTTTATTATGGTACTAAAATTTTACTTTAAGTTGACCTATTATGAAAGCCATATAAACTGCTATTATCTTGGGTAAGTAGGAATTTCTGGGGAGAATATTTGCATCATTGTAGAAGTAAGGGAAGCAGTGCTTCCAAAACGCACAGCTACAGCTCAGTCTTCACTTCACAGGCTGGGGAGGTCATTTCAACATAGTGGCTGACTTTAGATTAAATTTCAAGTGTGGAGGCTATACCCCATAATGAAGTTGATTAGTGGAACCATAACCTTATTTGATAATAAAGTACCAGGTGCTGCCAGGAAGATGACAAAAAGCAGCATCCAGCAATATTTTCTAGGTCTAGGAGTATTCATAGTCTCCATAACTACACTTTATTTCCTGTGATCTAAGGTTCATTCTAGGTGATGTATTTTTTTCAATGACAGAACTATAACCATTTGTACTATTACTAGAAAAACACTTTGGTTTTTTTTTTGAGAGTTTTATCAGATGATTCCCTTTATACTAGCAAGGTCATTCCCCTGGGCTTGATTATAATAAAGTAAAAGGCTTTTAAAATGTTTTCAGCAAGAATGAATTGGAATGAAGTAGATGCTGCTGCTTGCTTTTACTTTATTATTTTTCATATTATAAGATTTGCTAGTTTTGTTTTGTTTTTACTCATCAATAAAAGGCTTACATCTTGTTATTCCAAAGAAATAACATGAAACCATAATTTACCTGATAAGACTTGGCACTAATTTTCTCAGAGATTTCATTTTTTCTGATGTTGTCTTGAACAACGTACTTACTTAATATAGCTTTTAAAAAAATTATGCCTTCTCCCATAGACCTTAGGAAATAAATTCTATTTTATTTTCATGCCCCTATACTGAGACCTAAAAGTTTAATTCGATGCTTTTAAAGTTGACATTTATCTTTACCATAATCTAGAGAAAGTTTAGTGGCCTGTCACTGGTTTTTTCTTCCTTTCTTTCCTTCAGCATTTCCTTCCTTCCCTTTCATTTCTCCCCCCCCCCCCCCCTTCATAAAGCACAGAATTTTGTTTAGGTTTTTCAGATTCACATTGTGGGTAATATTTAGTTGTAATGTTTACCTCTCAAAGTAAAACTGTACCCAAAGATTCTTCTGTATCTTCATGTTGCAACAAGTTAAAACAATTGCTCATGGAGAATTTAGCACAGGTAAATAACGGTAAGTAGAATAGTGGCAGGGGTGGGGTGGGATGGCATGAATTACATTTGGGTAGGGAGAACTTCATTCTTCTACCTTCCTTTTAAGAAGACATTATTCAAAATCCAGATATTCAGGAAGACAGTATGGCAGTTGGGGGCCACCTTTGAGACTCAGTTAATACATCTAGTGCTCAGATTAGATGATGCTGTTTACAGTTGGGGCCATTTCATTTTGAGATTTTTTTTAGTTCTGATGGTAAAGAAGGAAAAAGCTATTTATCCTGCTGCCATTCCTTTATGAGCAGTGGGGTTTGAGACCACCTGCAAAGAACTAAACAAAGTAGCCTAGAGAACCTTTCTTTTCCATGTTCTTGGCTCTTGCTTCTTGACTTTAATTTATAATGTCCGTCATTTGTTTTACGCAGTATTTTATTTTAGAATAAGTTTTGTACTAATGTATAATTTTATGTTGTTTTGGTTTGGCTAATATTAGAGATTTTGGAAAACAGTATTACATATTATAGACATTTGGAAATATTATCCTTCAACAGTTCTTTGGAAGCTTTTAGTGTGCTGAATGGCAGTTTAAAAATAAGATGTGAGATTATATAGGAAGAATTAATGTGAATCCCCAAAAGAGAAGGAAAAAAATTACATGCCCTTTCCCACCCTTATTTTAGCATGAAACACTTAGTGCATACAGGACTGGTGTTCTATAAATACACCTTTGGAGAGGGTTTAGTTGAATGTTAAATGTTTTTTAAAAAAATAATTATGCTTTGAAAGCTACTTCTGAAGTAGAACTTGAAAAAAATAGTTATGGCCTTCGCACTTTAACAAATCAAACATTTGTGTGTGTTAATCTACTTTTTCTTTAATTCCAGGATAATCTTTTTAAAGCTAGCTATCCAAACTGATAGCAACTAAATTAATGAGTTTTTAAAATTTCCTTTAGCCTCAATACTAATTTATATGAGAGAAGATACAGTAATTTATTTGGATTATATTTTTTGTCGTCATATCATTCAGTATTTTTCATATACAGTTTTAATGATAGTATCAGATCTCAGATTACCAGGGCATGACCAGTTCAGGATGCAGGGGTTACAAGAATTGTGTATTTTATAATAAAAGAGCCATGTGGCCTTCTGGATTCAGACTAAAATAGGTATAAAAACTGCTGGTTTTTAATTTAGGTTATGTTCCTCCCATTTCTTTAAGAACCAATCTGATCACTTAACTTGATTGCCTAGCTCCTCATTAAAGGGACATTATAAGGAAGTCCTGTTAAATTACTGCTAAAATAGCAAGACTGTTGAATAAATTTGAAATAACAAAGAACATCTGGAAGAATAATTTGAACTTTTATTTCACTTGTTGCGTAATAGACTTTTGAGTTACAGAATTGAATGTGATATGTAACCAATGGGAAAGCCAGGATTTCAAGGGTGCAAGAAAGAGGTACTGTAGTGTGTCCTAACTTGAAAAAACATATTCTGTATTATAATTTTATACTTAAAAATAAATATAAAATCTGTTTTTGTAATATCCACTGTATGTCCATTTCACTCAGCACTGTATACCTAGTGTACTTAGCACAGGGCCTGACACAGTAAATATTTCAACAAATGTTTATTTTCTGATATTAGTGTATGAATGAATGATCAAATGAAGGAGGAGCGAATGTATAGCTTGACAAAATCTTCACTTATTGGTGTGTTCTGAATATAGACTTTATTTTCTACTAATTGGAGATTATCAAGGAGGAGAGAATGTGAGATATTTTTGTATCTGTTAAAGGGGTAACTTTTTAAAAGACTGAAAAGTATTTAGTAATAGGAAGAACATGGAATTTGATGACTTGATTTCTTATGCTTGCTACCCTGCTATTAATTGGTTGGATACTGTCACCCAGATTAGTTTTATCTTTTTTTTCATTTGATTAATGGGGTTAATGATACAATCTTTACCTTTTTACTTGTGTAGTAATGAGAGTCAAAAAAGAATTGTTGTGAAAGTTCAAAGTCTTATAAAAAATAAAGCTCTTTTTGTTTGTTTAATTATTGTTTATAGGCTACCTAAGTTGTATCTTTGTGAATTCTGTCTAAAATATATGAAAAGTAGAACTATTCTACAGCAGCACATGAAGAAATGTGGTTGGTTCCATCCTCCTGCCAATGAGATTTACAGAAAGAATAACATATCTGTCTTTGAGGTAAAGTAGATGTTTAGTAGTTGTCCTATCTATTTCAAATATAGTGCCACCTGTACCGTATCTAATCGTGCAACTTGATTTTTTTGGGAAATGTTATTTTACTGTTGTTCACTCACTATTCTGATAATTCTATATGAGAAACAGAATTAGGCCAATACAAATGGTACCAAGTTCACAAGCTTGATCTCAGAATAAATGATTCTGTATTTTATTAAATTAATGATCAATTATAAATCTTACTATTTTATGTACCATTAAGAAGGAAAAAGTACTGTTAATGATTTATGAGACTCCATTTAATTATAGAATGCCAACTGGTTTTACGTATGTTTAGAGGTGATTAAATTTTGTCTCAGAATCTATGAACTGTGGTATTTAAAAGATTTCTCTTGTTCTAAATAAAGGAGTATTTTGTAGAGGTATATTTAAATAGCAGTAGTAAATTTTAATATATTTTCCTGACTTAATCATGATGATATGACTTATGCTATGTTTATTATTATTCTGTGTTGTTAGTGGTATTTAATTTCTTGATCCTCACTTTTGTGGTTTGATTGACAAGTATTATCTGCCATATGCTCAGTTCTGTTAATTACTAGAATTTACATTACTAGAATTCTAGATGATAAAATTTCAGATTGTTAGGATCTACTTAGTCTCTTACTTTGTTGATCTTTCCTAAGCCTTTATTTTAGTTGAGGAATAGAGAAGCACTTCACTCTGGGGGAAGAGGGGAAGGGGAAAGGCTGTGGTATACAGTATTGTTTCAGAATACCTAAGAGCAGATTGTTTCTGAATTTAAGCATATATTGGTGTGTTTTTTAAAAGAAGTAATATTAAATTACTAAAATTGTTGAAGAGGTTTTAGTCTTTAAATGCCAATGGTTTAGCGGTTTAATGTGGGCATCAGTTGGCACTTTCATACAAGAGCAAGCTCTAGCAACTCCAAGAACACAGGGTGTCAGAAGTGACGTAGCCTAGTGCTCCTGATCTTGACCAACCCGAGTCCAAGAAATATCTCATTTGTCAGGTTGCCAGGGAACCTGCTTAGTTAAATCTCCCTCAATAGCTTTATTTGGGGATAAATCTGATCATGGCTGTCAGACAACATTACTTCTGACTGCTAGCACAGATTAGATTATAGATATACTGTGTTTTATTTACATATGTATTTTAGAAGCGGTTGTGTTTAGATCTGTTATATTAAATACTTTTTCTAAAGGAAACAGATTAGCTTGCCATCTGAATAGTTCCTGCAGTCAATCTTGTTATAAAAGCAAGAAGTACTATTTTAAAAATGGCCATCACCTTCTTATCTAGCTATTTGTGCTTTGTTGAATACAGTATTTTATATACATACTCAATTGTCTTAAAACAGCAGGTACTGTAATCCTGCTGTTTCAAGGGATAGCTTCCAGGTTCCAGTGTGCTCTGATCACTGACAGCTTCTCTGAGGCTGGACTATGGATACTCAGAGGTGCTTGTAACTGTCTTGTATTATTCTGGAACTAAAGAGACACTCTGCTGATCATTTTGTTCTATTATTTTCCTCTAGGTTGATGGGAATGTGAGTACCATTTATTGTCAGAACCTCTGTCTCTTGGCAAAGTTGTTTCTCGATCACAAAACACTTTATTATGATGTGGAGCCATTTCTTTTTTATGTACTAACACAGAATGATGTCAAGGGCTGCCACCTTGTGGGCTACTTTTCTAAAGTAAGTATATTGGCTTAAAATTTGTTTGAATTCATATGTAAATCTGAAACAATCTTTACTGGTTCTCATTAGGAGACACTACGAGGTACATGCAGGTCCTTCTGTGTGCCATCTAGCTTTTTATTCATTTTATTTATTTATTTTGGTACATGCCCTTAGCGGGAACCGAACCGGGACTCTCTGGTCCACAGGCCGATGTTCCAACCGCTGAGCCAGACTGGCCAGGGCCATCTAGCTTTTTAGAAAAGAAACTTAGAAGGAACATTTAGAAACATACCAAGTGCTAGAAAGTGCCTAGTAACATTCAACAGACTGTATATACTCTCCTAGGAACATGAACTATTGGTTATACTCAAGAGGAAAAGTGTTTAAGTGACTTCTATTCCCATGGTGATAATAGATAGAACTTGTAAAATAAACACAGTCATTACCTGTTTAAGTTCTTTCACAGTTTAAATCTTCTCTTCCTAATTTGAATTTTTGGCATAGAAATAATAGTGAGAGGCGATTTTTAATACAGTACATTTTTCTTCTTCCTTTAATCTTGCATTCTGTTCAGAGGAAAAAATGTTCTTTTGTGGTTAAGCAACATGAAAGATGTCCTTTTATTTGAGCAAGCCCAAGGTAAAATCTAAGGGTATAAAATAAGTACTAGGACAGCTAGCTTTATAAGCATTTTGTTAATAGGCTATTTCAGTAGTTAAATATAACTTAAGATAGATTGCCTGGTTTGTAAAAATATATTTGTACCGAACACTTTGGGACTATTTTTTGTGAAGTTAGGTACAGCCTATAGGGAGGGGAGACTCCACTGTGTAGCACCAGATGAGGAAATAAAAGAAACTTTGAAATAGTTGATGGTGAATCTTCCCACTTCTAGAGAGCCACATTGATTTATAATTTGTAGCTTTGCAAAGTGATTGGAACTTAGATTCCTCTGCTCATCTTAGGCATTGACATGCTGTTTTTGAGTTGCAGATGTTGCTGGATGGCATCATTTTATTTTATTATTTTATTCTCCTAGGATAGTTGCTCTGTGGGTAATGGCAATGACTTAACATTGTCCTGTCTCCTCCCAGTGGGGTCTTTTTTTTTTTTTTCTTTTTTGGTGTGTATTGTTATTCCCAAAGGACCAAGGCTGTGGTTTTGACTTTTAGTGTTTGTTTCTTAATAATTAGCCTCACCATTCAGTCTTATCAGTCTGTTGTTTTAAAACTTGGCTTCTATTTTCTCTACCAGGAAAAGCACTGCCAACAGAAATACAATGTTTCCTGTATAATGATTCTTCCCCAATACCAGCGTAAGGGCTATGGCAGGTTTCTCATTGATTTCAGTAAGTATTATAACATAATTTCTTATTATCTCTTCCTATGGACTCTGTGTGTGTGTGTGTGTGATATTTCAAAGATTTGCAGATGATTTATTGGTTGTCATACTGCTTGCTGTATAGAACTTGAAAACTTAAAGTCATGATTTTTTTCTGTTGATTGAACATTAAATATTTTTAAATAGCTAATATTGAATACCAACTTTTCTGTGATAACAAATATCTTGAATTTGCAACTGTTAAATTACAATGGAACTTAGTTTTATGTAGTAATTCTAAGTCACAACAATACTAAAATATTGTATAACTACTTAAATTAATAAAGAAGTAGCCCTGGCCGGTTTGGCTCAGCGGTTAGAGCGTCGACCTGTGGTCCCGAGAGACCCGGGTTCGGTTTCCGCTAAGGGCGCGTACCTCGGTTGCAGTTTGTCCCCGGCCCTGGTCGGTCGTGCGGGTGGCAGCCACTCGATGTGTCCCTTTCACATCGATGTATCTGAACAAAAAAATGGGAAAATTTCCTCGGGTGAGGATTAAAAAAAAAGAAGTATAGTACCTGCCCAATTTTTGTTATCCAAAATGTGTGCAGCATTTTTCTAGTTATAGGCTCTCTACCCAGTGGTTAAAAATATGTGATGTACCTTTTAAAATCTTAAAATTAAATGATATAGTAAATAACTAAATCTGAGTTAACTATTGAAAGCTAATGGCTCTACAAAGGTCATTGTGGAACATGAATTTTTTTTCACACATTGATAATCTTGCTGAGAAAGTAAATGTATGTCTGCAGTAAATTTTAAATTGATTATAAAATAGTGATATTTGAGGGAATATTTTCTCAGATACTGCTAAAAATAGTATTTTAAAAATATATTCAGAAACATTGGTTTAAACTAAGGATTTTGTAACAGGCAGTCCTTCTAAATATCAGATGATTATATGGTCAGCATTAAGAAGTTAATTCTTCTATAGACCAGTAAAGCTTATTCTCCTTGGCCTTAGACTGTACACCTGACTGTATTTTATTGGAAATAAAATTGATTATTTTGTACATTTCCTTGGTCTTCTTGGATTAATAGTAGAGGGTAGAACTCAGATTATTCCTTTAATATTAATATATTGTTTTGAAATAGGACTCATGACTGAACACGTTATGCTATTAAGTGACATAGTTAAGGGAAAATACTTGATTATGCTGATTTGGCATTTTTTAGATATACAAACAACAGGCTGTATGATTACAATATTTGTCTTCAGTTATTTTTTGTAATGTAATATAGTTCCCCGCATTATTATCCTTAGACTGATTTTATGTTTTCTTTAATGACTAAAAGCATTTCTTCTGCTATCTCCATTTTCATTGCTTTCCCTTAGAATTTATGCCTCCTTTTTCCTATTCTTGAGTCACACACTAATCAAGAGGAAGAAGTAATACAGTGACACCCTCATGCTGACATTCTTGCTTACCAAGAATTAGGGTGATAGGTAATTGTGAGGAGAGCTTTGGTTGAAGTGAGAAATTGTCATCTAATTCACTCTCCAAGAACCACAAGCTTAATAGATAGGGTTACATAAACACTGTGGCATTCTTTTATACAGTATTGTTCAGTTAAGATATAGCTGTTGCCATCTAGTGGTCCAAGTAAAACATGCAAGGGTAGTTTTCTACTATAATACATTAAATAAAAAAACATTATTGCCTTAAACTTACTAATGCAGACTATCAATTTGAAGTCCTGATTTTTAAGTTTGAATATTTTAACAATTTATATTAAGTGTAGACAAAGTGATACCAATTTTGTATACTAATGTTAATTGTATACAAATTATGTAGTCATCCTACAAATTGGTTTTTCAAGTAATTTTGCAATTTTATTCTTTTCTTGGAGGAATTTACTTTTGTAATTATTATTACCTACAATAATTTGATTGATTGTGCAAGAGGGGATTGTTATTTTGGTGAATTAGCTTATTTAGGCTCTCTGTCATATTTGTGATTTGGGGTTTCTTTAGGTTATTTGCTATCAAAGCGCGAAGGCCAAGCAGGGTCTCCAGAGAAACCATTATCTGATCTAGGTCGTCTTTCCTACATGGCTTATTGGAAAAGTGTAATATTGGAGTGCCTTTATCACCAAAATGACAAGCAAATCAGCATTAAGAAGTTAAGTAAGTTGACTGGAATCTGTCCTCAAGACATTACTTCCACACTCCACCACCTAAGAATGCTGGACTTTCGTAGTGACCAGTGAGTATTACATCCCTTTGTGTACCTTTGAAGAATAATTAGGTGGAAGCTTTTGGATCAGGCAGCCAAATTATTAATGGAAGAACATAAACTGATATAAATGATATACTTGGTGATCCTCAGACATCATTTTCCTTTCTATGATATTTGATACTATTGACTATATTTTTCTGAACTTGTTTTTTTGGCCTTCCTCTAACTTTTGAACCAAGGCTCCTGAATCTTATTTTCTAGAATTGGGAGTTCCTTCAACCCTAGAAGCGATGTCAAATAAGTTTATACCCATAATTTATTTCCACATAACATGGTACAAAATGAAATATAGGTCAAAGAGAAGAGCTCACCCTATCTAGAGTGCCTGGGGAAAGGTCACAAAGAGAGGAGGCATTTGAGCTAGAAATATGGAGAATAGGGGATAGAATTCAGGAAAGTATCATAAATTCAGAGGTGGAAAGTATGAGACAATAAATGGTTAACATAACTTCATCCATTGCTGTAGTTGAGTGTGAAGTATTTATCTAATTTCATAGTTTTTAGCTATCTCATGTGATAGCAATGTTTCTGTATTTCAGCTTCCCAGGCTTGCTATTATTGAAGCATTTATCATCATTTCCAGGGTTTTCTGGGCATTATAGCTCCATATTCAGTGTTAGGTACTTTTTGTACATTGTTGATTGCTATAAACTTTTCTTTGGTTCCAGATTTGTGATTATCCGCCGGGAAAAACTTATTCAGGATCACATGACAAAGCTTCAGCTAAATTTGCGACCCGTAGATGTAGATCCAGAATGCTTGCGCTGGACTCCTGTCATAGTTTCCAATTCTGTTGTCTCAGAGGAGGAAGAAGAGGAGGCTGAGGAGGGGGAAAATGAAGAGCCGCAATGCCCGGAAAGAGAATTAGAGACAAGTGTAAGGACATGAGCAGTCTCTGTTTTTGATGACAGAAGGATATATTTTGGGTTTTCATGAATACCTGTGATTTATATAAATACATAAAATAAACCAATACAATAAATTCACATTAAAATTTCAGAGTTTATTTTAATGATAATGTCAGGAAAACTGGGTTTTATGCCTTGGATCATTAGGAGACCTTCAAATTTGTTATGTGCTACTTATGACTATTTCTTACCAGAGTCCAATAAGCAGCTAATTTTTTTAAGCAACTAAATTTTAAGCTATATAGTAATTAAGGGATCTTAATTGAATATAAATCTGACTTGTTAAAAATGAAATGAAGATCCATTTTTCTTAAAACATTATGGAATAATATAAATGTGTATGTTTTCTAAGACAGCACTCAGTAGTTCAGTAGGTATACAGATGTCTTTAGCCATTAAAGGGTTAAAGCCATTAAAGGGAGAGGCGGTATAGTTTTCAATATTTTTCTTCATGTGATGCGTACCTCTTTTTTTTTAAAAAAAACACAGTTCTTTCATCCTTTAAAAATCTATGTCTTTGATAAACGTAAACAAATTCATGCCCCTGTTTAATGTATTTTTAAAAAATGAAATCAAATATTCAGAATAAAACGAGATCAAAATAATTACAGAAATTTTCTTTCATTTTTCTTCAAACACCCCTTTTTTCTTGCTCAAATACCCCAGAGCCCATCTCCTCTCTCTTTATAAATTTTTATTTCTGAGAAGTTTCATAAACTATTTTATGTAACATTTATAAGAACAATAATATCCACTTTGTTTATTGAAGACAATATTGTATAGTGTCTGAGAGCACAAGCTCTTGCGTCAGACTGCCTGGGTTTATGTCCCAACTTCTTCACTTGCTGTTGCATGAATGACCTGGGACAAGTTGCTTAAACTTTCTGTGCCTCAGTTACCTACTTTTGTAAAATAGGCATATAATTATGCTTTATACAGTTGTTATGAAGGTTATATTAATACCTTTAAAGCATTTAAGACAGTGTCTGACACACAAGAAATATTAATTTTAGCTATTAAATAATAATTTTATTTTTTAAAACTCTGTTTTGTTATCTTAGTATCTGAAAGATTATAATAGGAGATATAACCAGATAAGACTGGAAAATTAACCAGCACGGTTTTATTTTCTAAAATCAGGTGGGAAAGTCTGCATCTCGGGAGAACAAAGAACAAGATTCTTATTCTTCAATAGAAGGTGAAAAGAAACCAGAAGTTATGGCACCCGCCAGTTCTGCACGTTTGAACAAACAAGTCCTTTCTCGTGATAGTCTTCCTGCAAATAATCAGCCATCTCGGAAAGGCCGCTGTGGGAGGAAGAACAAAAAAACCCAGGAACGATTTGGCAATAAAGATTCTAAACTGCTCTTGGAAGAGTCAACAACTCCTCAGGAACAATATGGAGAATGTGAGGAAAAATCAGAAACCTCCCAAGAACAATATACTGAAAGTGAGGAACAGTTGGCAGCCTCTCAGGAGCAGCCAAGCCAGGATGGGAAGCCAGACATTCCCAGAAGAAGACTAAGTGAGGGGATTGAGCTGTGGCGAGGACACCTAAAGAAAAGCCCTGAGGCTCTGAAGTGTAGGTTACCAGAAGGCAATGATAGACTGTCCCGTCGCTATAGTGATGGTGACAGGGCTCTCCTCAGGGGCTTCAGTGAGAGTAGTGAGGAGGAAGAGGAGCCAGAAAGTCCTCGGTCCAACTCACCACCAATTCTTACAAAGCCCACATTGAAGCGAAAGGTAAGGCATTTCTTTGACGTCTTTTCTTCCTCCAGTTGTAGCTTATTGTGTACAGTGTTCTTTCCTAGAGTTCTGAAAGAGTAAAGATAGAAATTCTTAGTATTATTTTATAACCTTTAAGCCTCAGTATACTGTTCCCTGTGACTATTTGAAATGTATGTATGACTTCTATGGTTCATGGTAATTAACTTAGAAGTCATAGCTTATTTAAGGGCTGACAGACTGTTTTTCAGCTTGCTGTTTTGATGTTTAAATCGTGACTTATAGGGATTTTTAAAATATTTTAAAAGTGTGCATGGATTAGAAATGATTATATTAGAAAAGGAAAGTAGTATTATGCAGTTTCATAGAAAGTGGATGTATATTGGGGTGCTTAGAATGAAGTCATTTATCTTACCTTGAGCAGTACTATTTTCCCTGTTCTCTCACCTCCCTTCTCCCTCTCCCCTACACTCCTCCAGTTATTTTTCTTAACCTTGTTTTAAAAGTATTTTCTAAGCCAGGCTGGTGTGGCTCAGTGGTTGAGCATCGACCCATGCATGAGGTCACTGGTTCGATTCCGATCAGGGTACATGCTCTGGTTGCGGGCTCAATCCCCAGCAGGGGGTGTGCAGGAGGCAGCCGATGGATGTTCCTATCTCTGTCTCCCTCTCCCTCTAAACTCAGTAAAAACGTATCTTTAAAATAAGTAAAAATATTTTCTAAGCTATATATTTCGTCATTGAGCAAAGTTTGGTTATAATGGTTTCTCAGACTCCTTGTTTTTGGTGACCTTGAAAGTTTTGAGAATGCTCCTCATGGTATTAGAATGAGGTAATGTGTTTTTAAGAACACCACAGAGATAAAGTGTCATTCTCATCACATCATATAAAGGGTATCTACTATCAGTATATATACAAGGGTATTTACTATCAATATGACTTTTCACTGTTGTTAATCTCCATCACCTGGCTTGAGGTTGTGTTTGTCAGTTTCTCCACTATAAAGGTATTCCCCCCTTCCCCTGCCTTTTTCATACTGTACTCTTTGGAAGGAAGTCTCTGTCCACTATCCATGTTTAAGGTATGGGGAGTAATACACTACTCCATAAGAGCTGAATACCTATGTTTATTTAGAAATCTGCCTGGGATATTTATCCATTCTCTGCCATTTATTAATTTATTTAAGCTTTTATTTATATTGCTGTGAACTCATAGATATTTACTTTATACTTTAAGTTATAATCCAGTACCACTTTATTTAATTTGTTGCTCAAATTCTTCTTGCTTTGGATATATAGGACCTCTTTCAGTTTTGCTCCTGTGTCCCTTTAACATACATGCCCTCATCATTGCGAAGTTTTTGTTTGTTTTGGTTTGAACACTTCATAATTCCTGGTACTACAGGATGTTCTAGGTTTAACTTGTACATTTCATGCCCCAATCCTAGAATTTATTATTTTTCTAAAGAGTAAGGCCATGTTTAACCTAATTAGGAAATTGTATTATTTGGTGGGGGTGGGGGCAGGGGGAGGGGGATCCTCAGGTGAGGATATTTTTCCACTGATTTTTTTTAATCCTCATCCGAGGATATTTTTCCATTTTTATTTTTTCAGATAGAATAGGAAGGGGAGAGAGAGAAACATCGATGTGAGAGAGAGAGACATCAACTGGTTGCCTCCCACACGACCTCGACCAGGACTGGGGACCAAACCACAACCACGTGCCCTTGACCAGAATTGAACCTGCAATTCTTCGGTCTGCGGGCTGACGCTCTAACTGCTGAGCCAAACTGGCCAGGGCTCCATTGATTTTTTTTTTTAACATAGAGTGGAAAAAAACAAAACAAAACATAAGAGTATTATAAGGGAGAGGGAGGGAGGGAGAGAGAGAAAAAGAAACATTAATGTGAAAGAGACACATTGATTAGTTGCCTCCCCGACCAGGGCCCAGGATCGAACCTGCAACCTAGATATGTGCCCTTGACTGGGAATCGAACCTGAGACCCTTCATTCAGTCTGCAGGCCAACGCTCGATAACTGCTGAGCCAAACCACCCAGGGCTGAAAATTATATTCTTAACTAGAAGGATTAGTAAATTTGAAGTGGAGAAAAAGTGAATTCTTGACTAACTCAGCTATTCATTATGTGACCGTAAAGAATATATCTTTGCTATCCTAGGCTTGTATTGCCTGTTTATAAAATAAAATTATGCTATTTGTGTTTTGTTTTTTTTTAAAGGAGTATTATAATAGGCAGTGAGATCATGTACAAAGTGCTTGTGAAGTTCTTAAAGAAATTCATTTGACTGGAGTGAGACTATTTTTTACAACCATTCCTATACTGACTGAATGTGTGACCTTAAACAAGTTCTGTAACCTTTCTGGCCTCTATAGAATGAGGGAATTGGCTAAGATAATTTCTGGTGCATCATCTTTGTTTTGTGCTTTTGTGTGATTTAAGGTAATAAATCAACCCTAGTACAAAATTGTGCCTAATATGCCAAATTCCAATAACAGATTTATTTTATGACTTTTGAAATGCTTCACTAACATCAAGTAAACACCTGTCAGCTCCATGTTTCTGCATTCCAATATAACTACGGATAACCCATGAAAATGGCATACAGCTTCACTGATAGTTCTGCTTACCTGCATAGTAGAGCAATGAGACAAACAACGTGTTTTAATCCTTTTTTTTCTTTTGAGGAAAAGAGAAGTTAAGGAACTAGCCTATTTGTCATTTTAGTATTGAAATAGACAACTCCCTAGGATGTTTAATTTAACTGAACTGTTAATAAGTTAATTATAATATCTGCTTTTTGCGCATGCCTGCCTATTCTTTTATAAAGTTGTATTTTGTTATCCAACATGTATGTATCTTACTATAGTATTTTAAGGTAATATTTAGAATGTGTTTTGGGCCCTGGCCAGTGGGGCTCAGTTGGTTGGGTGATGTCTTATGCACCAAAAGTTTGCTGGTTCAATTCCCAGTCAGGGCACATGCCCAGGTTCTGGGCTCCATCCCCAGTAGGGGATGTGCAGAAGACAGCCGATCAATGTTTCCCTCTCACATTGATGTTTTTTTCTATTATCTCCTTACCCCTTCCTCTCTCTTTAAAACTTAGTAAAAATATTTAAAAAAAAATTTTTTTAATGTATTTTGGTAAACAACATCCTCATTTTATTTGTGCTAATTATATTAGGTTTAAAAACTATTAATCATATTATTAGTAGAAATGATAGTGTTCATTACTGTTAATAAAATTCTTTCTCTTTTAAATAGAAACCAATTCTCCACCGAAGAAGGAGAGTCCGAAAGCGCAAACACCACAATAGCAGTGTGGTCACAGAAACTATTTCTGAGACTACAGAAGTCTTAGATGAACCTTTTGAAGACTCTGACTCTGAGAGGCCAATGCCAAGATTAGAGCCCACGTTTGAGATTGATGAAGAAGAAGAGGAAGAAGATGAACTCTTCTCTAGAGGATACTTCCATCGGTTGTCCTCACAGGATGTTCTCAGGTGTCGATCTTCTTCTCAGAGGAAGTCTAAAGATGAAGATGACGATGATGACGAAGAGTCAGATGATGCTGATGGTATGTTTTACAGAGAACTTTTGCTTATTGTAGTTTTATTGTCTTTAAAGATACAGCAGTGGTAACCATAAACACTTCAATAAAAAGGCTGAAAAATTAACATAGCCTACTAAACAAAGGATGACTTGGTAATCTCTAAAAAAGTTGTGTCAAGTGTATTCACCCTGATTTAGTCCTCTGTCCTTTTAAAGTGCTTTTTTCTAGTTTCCCCTTCAACCCAGGACCTATTTTTGTTTTGCAGACAATTCTTTTTCTGCCTAATGCCTTTTTTGTTCATTATATGAAACTTTAGTTAATAGATATACTACACTTAGCACCAGGAAGATATTTAAGTGATAATAAACTTTACCAGAATGTACATTCTATAGATTTAGTCTGTTTTGCTTATTGTAGTATACTAGTACTTAATACAGGTACTCAATAAATAGTGAAATGAATAGATGTTAAGATGATTCTTAAATAAGATCAGATTCATGTAAATTGACTTGTTTCAGATCTGTTCAGGAATCCTACTTGAATCATATCTCTACGTGTATTTCTTACTCAATTAGTAGTAAATTTCTAATAAAAATAGTAACAATATTTTAAAATAGGTTAAACTTTATAGCTTACCTAAACATTCAGTGATTTACTTTTCAGATACCCTTATTGTCACTTCCTCTTTAGAAATGAAGAAATGGGGGCTCATATATGAGTTGGGTCACACACTAGTCATTTGCATCCTTGCCTCAGTTTTTGCTAGTGTATTCTGCCTACATCTGTAGTGTTTACCTTGCATGGGGTCAAACTGAGCTCTTTGAATTTGAAGGAATCTAGTTGTATATATGTATAAACATATAGATTTTATGTATTAACTAGTTGAACTTTTTATTCTTTTAAAAATAAATCCAGTTTTATATCTAGTATATAACTTTCATTTTCTTCATTCTTTCATATTTACATAATAAATAATTTTAATAAAGTGATAAGTGACTGAATTCTTTGGTTATTGGGAATGATTTTCAGAGTTCTATTTTGAGATATATAATAAGTAGGAAACTAAAATTTTATCCTTTAAATTTGGCACACTAGTAAAATTCTGACTTGTGTCATTATAAACTAAAATATTATCTTCTAAGTTTCTGTTGAGTTGGACACATTTTCTCTGTTTAGTCTCAAATTATTATTACTAACTATACCTTTTTAGCTCTACCACCCAAAATCTTGTTCTTGCTTTGGTTTTCTTTCCTTTAAAAATTAATGAGAAATGTGAATTTACTTAATGCCACACCAAAAGTGTTACAGTGATGACTTTTATGCTATGTATATTTTACTACATTTTGTTTGTTTGTTTGTTAATCTTCACCCAAGGATATTTTTCCATTGATTTTTAGAGATAGTGGAAAGGGGGCGAGAGAGAGAAAGAGAAACATCAATGTGAGAGAGAAACTGGGGCACATGCAGGAGGCCACCTGTAACTCAGATATGTGCCCTTGACCAGGAATTGAACCTGCAACCCTTTGGTGCATGGGTGGATGCTCTAACCACTGAGATACACTGACTAGGGCTTTTACTATAATTTTTAAAAAGAAAAAAATTAATTGGGAGAAAATAATGCTAAAATAAAATGCATATCTGATAAACCATTGTCATTGGTGCTTCAGCTTATTCTTCAGGTCAGTATTTGTCTAGCACTAAATGCCTTGCAGCTATTACCGTATAAACACAACATTGACATTTATTTTAAAGGATTGGTCAATCATGGTCTGAAGTAATTGGCTCTTGAAATTACCTGAAGTAATGATTTTGTGGAAAATAAGAAAACCAGAGAGATAATATAAATTGCAATCAGAAAAATAGCCCTGGCTGGATGGGTCAGTTGGTTGGAGCATCTTCCTGTACACCAAAGGGTTTTGGGTCTGATTTCTGTTCAGGACACATACCTAGGTTGTGGGTCGGGGCACGTGCAGGAGGCAACGATCCATGTTTCTCTTCCCTCCCCAGCCCTAAAATCAAGGAAAACATGTCCTTGGGTGAGGATTTTAAAAAGAAGAAGATACGAGCTGATTTATAACTTATACAATAAAGACAGCTTGACTAAAGTAGTGATGACTGCTTAGTGTTTACATCTTTATAAAGCTCATCTCCATTTTATAGGTGATAAAACTGAATATTAGAGGACATTTTCAAAGCTATACAGTTGGCAGTGATAAACTTGAACTGGTTTTAACTAATGATAGTAACAGAATGTTGACCAGCATTCTTTCACTGTTTTGCCATTTTACCTTTGACTTCAGACGATGTCACTAATTAGGTTTCTTCTTTAGATTAATAACTTGAAAATGAAGATAATCAAGAGTTTGTGGTAATTAATGAAATTATTTCTGTTGTACATGCTGGTCTCAGAAAAAGGCATTTAGAAAATACAAGATCTTATACCTATTTTTATTTTTATCTTTTATCCCTCCTTTACAGACACTCCTATCCTAAAGCCAGTACCTGTCTTGAGAAAATGTGATGTGAAGAATTCTTCACATGAGCCAGATACATCCACACCTATGAAAAAGAAAAAGGGATGGCCCAAAGGCAAGAGCCGCAAACCAATCCACTGGAAGAAAAGACCTGGCCGCAAACCAGGATTTAAGTTGAATCGGGAAATCATACCCGTTTCTACTCAAGATCACATTGTTGAGCCCATTATCCCCATTCCTAAACCTGGACGTAAACTCAAAATTCAAGAGAATGAAGAAACTGTTGAATCAAAAGAAGACTTGCCTTTACCCGAAGAAAGGAAGGAAGAAGAGGAGATGCATGTGGAAGCAGAAGAGGTTGAAGAGGGAGAAGAAGAAGATACAACCAGCAGTGAAGTTAGAGCAGCTTCTCCAGTGGATAGCAGCAACAGTCCCGAGATGGAAATGAAAGAACCTGAGATAGAGGAGGAAGAAGAGAAACCTTGTGTCTCAGACGAGCAGAGGCAATCTGAGGAAGAGCAACAAGAACTGGAAGAGCAGGAGCAAGAGGAAGAGGATGAAATAGCTGTAGAGACAAACCAGAATGAAGACCATGATGCAGATGATGAAGATGACGGTCATCTAGAATCTACAAAGAAAAAAGAGCTAGAGGAGCAGCCTGTTAGAGAAGATGTCAAGGAGGATCCTGGAGGTCAGGAGTCTTTTTTAGATACGAATATGCAGAACAGTAGGGAGAATATAAAGGATAAAGATGAAACAGAACCAGATTCTGAAGAGGAACAGACTTCCCATGAAACATCCGTGGTATCAGAGCATATGCCAGGGTCTGAGGATGATCATGAAGAAGATTCAAACTCTAAAGAAGAACTAATTGAGTTAAAAGAGGAAGATGAGATTCCCCATAGTGAACTGGATCTGGAAACTGTGCAAGCAGTGCAGTCTTTGACTCAAGAAGAAAGCAATGAGCATGAGGGCGCCTACCAGGACTGTGAAGAGACGCTTGCTGCTTGTCAGACCCTGCAGAGTTACACCCAGGCTGATGAAGACCCTCAGATGTCGATGGTTGAAGACTGTCATGCTTCTGAACATAACAGTCCAATATCTTCTGTTCAGTCTCATCCCAGCCAGTCAGTCCGTTCAGTCAGCAGTCCCAATGTGCCTGCCCTTGAAAGTGGTTACACCCAGATCAGCCCAGAACAAGGATCCCTGTCCGCACCTTCTATGCAGAACATGGAGACCAGCCCCATGATGGATGTGCCTTCCGTATCCGACCACTCTCAGCAGGTGGTGGACAGTGGCTTCAGTGATCTGGGAAGCATTGAGAGCACCACAGAAAACTATGAGAACCCTAGCAGTTATGATTCCACAATGGGCAGCAGCATTTGTGGGAATAACTCTTCCCAGAGCAGCTGCTCCTATGGTGGGTTATCATCCTCCAGCAGCCTCACCCAGAACAGTTGTGTTGTCACTCAGCAAATGGCAAACATGGGCAACAGCTGCAGCATGATGCAGCAGAACAATGTCCAGCCTGCTGCCAATTGCAACATCAAGTCACCTCAGAGTTGTGTGGTGGAGCGGCCTCCCAGTAACCAGCAGCAGCCGCCGCCACCACAACCGCAGCAACAGCAGCAGCAGCAGCAGCAGCAGCAACAACCAGCACCTCAGCCTCCACCACCCCAGCAGCAGCAGCAACAGCAGCAGCCACCACCACCTCAGCCCCAGCAACCTCAACCCCCACCCCCACCTCAACAGCAACCACCCCTGTCACAGTGTAGTATGAATAACAGTTTCACTCCAGCACCTATGATCATGGAGATACCAGAATCTGGAAGCACTGGGAACATCAGTATCTATGAGAGGATTCCAGGGGATTTTGGTGCCGGCAGCTACTCTCAACCGTCAGCCACCTTCAGTTTAGCCAAGTTGCAGCAGCTGACTAACACCATTATGGACCCTCATGCCATGCCTTATAGCCATTCTCCTGCTGTGACTTCCTATGCAACCAGTGTTTCTTTGTCTAATACAGGACTGGCTCAGCTAGCTCCATCTCATCCATTAGCTGGGACCCCTCAAGCACAAGCCACCATGACACCGCCCCCAAACTTGGCATCTACCACTATGAACCTCACGTCACCTCTGCTACAGTGCAACATGTCTGCTACCAACATTGGCATTCCTCACACTCAGAGGTTGCAAGGGCAAATGCCAGTCAAGGGGCACATTTCTATCCGCTCTAAATCTGCACCATTGCCCTCTGCAGCTGCTCACCAGCAGCAGCTGTATGGCCGCAGCCCACCAGCGGTTGCCATGCAGGCTGGCCCTCGTGCATTGGCTGTTCAACGTGGCATGAACATGGGGGTTAATTTAATGCCAACCCCTACCTATAATGTCAATTCCATGAATATGAACACCTTGAATGCCATGAACAGCTATCGAATGACACAACCCATGATGAACAGCAGTTACCATAGTAACCCTGCCTACATGAACCAGACAGCACAGTATCCTATGCAGATGCAGATGGGAATGATGGGGAGCCAGGCCTATACCCAGCAGCCTATGCAGCCAAACCCTCATGGAAACATGATGTACACTGGCCCCTCCCATCATAGCTACATGAATGCTGCTGGTGTGCCCAAGCAGTCACTCAATGGACCTTATATGAGAAGATGAGCAAGATGAACTTGCAGTTAAAAACTTAAATATATATAAATAAAGGAACCTTTTATACTGACAAACCAGAGAAAAATGGACCTTTTTTTCCAGTTAAAATATTGCTGTAGATTTAGAGGAATTTTTCTTTGGTTTATTTTATTTTTTAGAAAACCTGGTCTTCTCTTTTTTGGGGGTTCATTTTGTTCTGGGTTTTGGTTTTCTTCATAATCTTGAACATTTTACAATAGAACTCATCTAAAAAATGGATTTGGGGATGGGGGAAACATGCACAAAAATCTTTTCATAATTAAAAAGAGCCTTACTTTCTTTACACACCACATGGACAGAATTTGTGTAAAAGTGAAATATCCTTATTTTATTTGAAGATGTATGTTTCCCCTCACTGTTTGCAGCTCCCAGTGTTGTCATTTTTAAATGTTATATATACATCTCGAGGGTTAACCAGACCCTCTCCTCCAAACCCAACCTTTCATTTCCTACTTCATTCCAGCAGGAGGCACTTATGGGAGACTCGGATGGGGACATGGAGAACAACCCAAGCTCCTTAAACTTATTATTATTGTTAATATTATTATTATTATTATTAATAAAATGAGGCAGGAAAATGCTTCTCCTTTTAAAATCCCCTCCACTCCCTACACAAACACACACACACACACACACACCCCTCTTGAAACCTCTCCCCCAAAATGTTTCTTTATAAATGGACTTTATTGAAATGTTTGTCTTTCTTAAATCAAGTGTAATATAATTTTTTCTACTATTCCCACTCAGCACTCAGAGACACACAAATACTGTAAGTCTCAATTAAACAGCAGAATCTCAGAGGAAAGCTGTTTGCAATCCTGATTTAGCCTTGGAGGAATAGAGATTGGTCAGTTAACAATCAAAAAGAGGAAATTAACCTCTTGTTTTTTACCACCTGGTGAATCAGCCATAATGCCCATACTCCACACAGCCTCTTGTTTTTAGTATGTACTTTGAGATGCTAAGGGTCTTGATTCTTGAGCCTTTGACTCTGATTAAACTCAATAAATAGTCCCCAGTGATTAGCCTCTTACATTCTTACAATGTTGGTGGATGACTGTTTCAGTGATTTGAAAATATCTGACAAACCTTTGACACTGTTTATGTTGGAAGAGATGACACAGAATGTGTCCCCTCGTAAGCGAGATCATGGTGTGAATTTTATAGCTACTTTAATGATACATACCTCTAGTCTTCATTTGTCTTTTGAGATCCTGAGTTCATCCCCTGTGAATCAGAGTGCACTGGCTGCTCACCTGTGAGTGGCTAAAGAGAAGAGGGATCAACCAACCACCAGCAAAGTAGGGCAAATCTAGACAGCAGGGTTTTGGCAGGCTCCTATGTTGTTCCCAATTCCATTCTCTTTTCTCTTGTGCAGCCAGTTTGCCCATTCTCTTCCTGTTACTTGCTCCAGGGATAGGTAAAAAGAAAAAGAAAAAACCTATATATATATATATACCATCATTAGAAGATGGAAACTATTATACCACTTGGTATGTGCAGTCAGATATCCAAAAGGGGGAAGTACTGCTTAAGAATTACCTGTAAGCATTAAATTCTCTCCTTTATTTGTACATTTTATATAGATAAATTTTTGAAGTACTAATTAGGCATTAAATTTTTCAAATGCACAGGGTTTGTTGGTTTTTTTAATACACTTTAATTGACTTTCTCAATTAAATGTGTTAGGTAGAAAAAAAGCAGAATTCCACATTTTAACTGCTATCAATTCTAAGCATGTGCAAGGCTGTGTAGGACCCAGTTTCTCTGTATATACTATTCCAGTTCTCAATCATCTATGTAGAAAGTGCACTGTGCTGCCCTCTCCCTACATCTTCAGCTATGTCATTGCTTCCTGATTGGGGTGGGGGTGGGGTGGGTTGGGAGGGAAGTATATTGGGAGGAGGGTGGGTCAAGGCAGAAGGAGAAGCTGTTGAAATGAGGGCCGTGAATTCAGTTTCCGTTGGTTTGCAATTGTGTTTGGTTTTGTTTCTTTAAAAAAAAAAATTCAATCAGGCAGCTCCCTTTTTCCACAAGCCTTTTTGTGACTAGAACTATTGTAGAGAAAATGTTCTTTTCTATATTATAAAAGAAATTATCCAACACAGTGATATTGGTACCTGTCATTTTTTCACTTCTGTTTTAAAAAAAAAATGTATTTTTAGCAAAATAACTTGGGTAATCTTCTAAAAAAGAAATTTAAAAACTCACTGTTAGTGACTTTGATGCCTTTTAAAATAAGAGCTTTTTCATTTCATTCCATCTTTAAAATTTTTTATCTTTGTTGTAGAATATTAAAAAGTATTTTAAGAAAGATAAAAATTCTCTTTAAAGAGATCTCTAGAGTGTGTGAATAGAGCTCCAGATGCCTCTAAAAGCCGCATGTACAAATGAAGCTAACTAAGTCTATTCCTGTCTGTTTATATTTGCTTTTCCTGTTTTGTAACCTCTTTGTACTTTGTTCATGGTGACTTGTAAGCTAAGGGGAAGGGATGCCTAGATGCCTTTGTATTTCTCCATGTCATGCGCTCCTGGGCCAGTTGGTCTCCCTTCCTCTCCTTGTATGTAATATCACTTTTTTTTCCCCTTTCTAGCAAGTACTTTCAAAAGAACTCTGTACATTTTAACATAAAAAAAAAATAAATTATGTTGAGCCATTTTGGATGTCTGTCTTGCATGTGGGATTTTTGTCTCTTCCAAGTATTTCAAACTCATTCTTTTTCCACACACAGAGCCTGTTCATGTACCTCTCTATATAGCAAGTATCAGTTCATGATCTTTGCTTTGGAATCCAGTTTTCAAATATATATGTGTTTAAATGCCAATAATACAGATTTTTTTTTTTTCCAAAGAAAATTGTATTATAACTTCATTTTGGATTTTTTAGGGAAGTCCATTTGAAAACCTTGTAAAGGGGTTGTGATTCACCCAACCATAGAAAAGAAATACAGTCGCAGTGACAGGTACCTCTTAGACTTGAAACAAAGTGGTTTTTTTCTCATTTCATTTTACCTGATTATGTAATCTAGGAAGATTGGCCACATATCAAGGTTCTAAACACTGCATATATTTTTGGTTTGTTTTCTGAGTTATTGTACTTACCTCTCTCATCATTTAGAATTTGGGATATAAGGCAGGTTCCAGAAAAGTAGATTTAACTTTGGAAAGCTAACAACCCTGGGGTCGAGAGGTGAAGCAGCTGCAAGTTTGTGTGGCCCCTCCAAACTTGACCTGCTGCTCTTTCAGAAGTGTACGTGAATAGTACCTATAGCAGACATTTATTCTAAACCTCATGCCATTGAAGTTTTAGACCACAAAGTTATCACTGAGTAAAAGTTTGTTTCCCTTGATTTCTTTGCTTGCTTAAGTAATCATGATTTGGACCCAAGACTCTGTTGTGGAATGATGCAATTATTAGTAGATTGTTTTGAAAACATACTTCTTGCCTTTGCTACTGTAAACTACCTGCTTTAAGTGAATTCAACATAGAGCAATTTTTATTTTTCTACAAAGGAGATAATGTGACAAAGAATATATTATAGGTTTCTTTTAAGTGTTAACACCCCCACTATATTTATATTACATTTAAAATATAATTTGAAGAATATAATTCCATTTATAGCCACCTCATGAATGATGTGAGTAGAGAAGGAGCTCTCATTTCTTTGTTGTATACTCTGGCCTTTTCACTCTGCCTCAGGTGTAGGTGTGGGAGGAAAGTGGCAATGCACTTGATGAATGTGTATATTGCTGGGACTCTCTTGCCATGCATTTAGTAACTGCGGTTCCAGGAATTATATTCCTACAAGGCCTCCCTGAGCATGGCTTTCTTTGTAGTATGATGACAAGTATGTATTCATTGAAAGCCAGTGTCTGTCAGGTCAACAATTCTAGCTCTTTAGGTGAGAATTAATGTTTCAGGTACAGCCTGGGCAGTGTGTGGTGGTTTTTGTCCTTCCTCTTGTCTTTTCACAATGTACAAGATGTGGGTCAGTGATGAAAATGGAAAGGCATCATAAAAAGAGAAACAAAAGATAACTGCCCTTGTTGGCAGAATAGAGTAAGCAGGGTTATTGTGACAAGTGTGTGTGGGAGGAAAGCCCCATATCCTCGATGTGACTTTCAAGAAATCTAAAAATTCAAGTGACACGTTTCTGTAATTGAACTCACAAGATCATGTAGAGTAACTGACCCCACCCAGTGTTGGCTAATCTCTGGAATTCTTGAGCTTGGCGTCTAATTAAAGGCTAACAATCCCCAGAACAAAATCCAAATCATTTCTTAATAAATCCCTGTTAAGGGACAGGATGGGTTTGTTATGTAAGTTGGTGTGGTTACATAATGCAGCACAGAGCCATGGATTTTCTTTCCGGAGTGACAGCTACAATTTGGGCTTAATTGACATTCCTTGCTATATCAATAGGAGCCTAAATATTGGTATACAGATTACATAAAACCTAAAAAAATGTGGCATGTATAATTTTTGCCTGAAATAAGGAAAGCCCTGGGATATGATGGACTTTGGTTTTTTTGAGAGCGTTTAAAACACTAGACAGTAATAGGGAATTGTTTTCCTGCAACTTGTGAATAAACTTGAGTGTGAGGTATACATTATTATTAGCAAGAAAAAAAAAGTTCTAACATTTAACTCTGTACTAAATAGATATTTCTGAAAGCCACATTTAAGCAACATTTAAGAAAAATATTAAACGTTCTCTGGGATGATGTGTTCATTTTTAACCATTTTTAGTTAATACGTGCACAAAATGAGCAAGCAAAGACAAGCAGATGAACTGAGAGATAAGCTAATTGCCTGTGCTTAACGGATAGAACTATAGTGCTGGTATAACTCACTGAGATTTCTATAAATATGCATTGAAAAATTGATATTTTGTTAATGTTAGGAGACAAGCCATTCAGATGGCCTATCAAGTTATTTTATAATTGACCTTAAATGAGCATTTTGGGGCCCTAGAATCTTTTATTTTTGAATGTTCATTTTAAAACATTTTAATTGAAGTCCTAAGTTTAAAGTCTCTTGTGAACAAAGTAAAGAAAAATATTCATACATAAAGCTTCTTTGCTAGAACTGAGGCTCTGCCCCATGTACAAACAAGGTCTACTGTTTAATTGATGTATTACATTTTTAAAAAATGGTTGATTTAAATTTCTTTTTAAAAGAAGGCTTTAAAAAGCAGTTGTCAGTTATGTCAAAAATGATTGTTTTTGATCATAGTTTTCCAAAGAAAATGAAAACAGTTATAGATTGACTAGGAGACAATGACTGCTTTACTAAAGGGAAGGACCTCTTGCAAAATAGAAGAATTACACGATTTTTTACAAAATCCTCACCCAAGGATATTTTTCCATTTATCTTCAGGCAGTGAGAAAGAGAAACATTGATGTGAGAGAGATGCATTGACTGGTTTGCCTCTCAAATGACCCCGACCAGGGCCAGGGACTGAACTGTAACTGAGGTTTGTACCCTTGACTGGAATCGAACCCGTGACTCTTTGGTCTATGGGATGATTCTCCAGCCACTGAACCAGGGCTACACGATTTTTTTTTTATCCTCACCCGAGGACATTTTCCATTTTTTGTTCAGCTACAGTGGGAGGGAGAGAGAGACATCAACGTGAAAGGGACACATTGAGTGACTGCCACCTGCACGACCCAACCAGGGCCAGGGACATACTGCAACCGAGGTACGTGCCCTTAGCGGGAACTGAACCTGGGTCTCTGGACCGCAGGCCAACGCTCTAACCGCTGAGCCAAACCGGCCAGGGCTACACCCTTTTTTTTTTTTTAAAGTCTGTTTAACTCCTGTTTAAGGAGGATAACTAGAATTGACTCGAACTCCTAACTTGACATCTCCAAAGTTTTCTTGATTGAAAGTTGTAATCTGAAAACTGAGTAACTTGCAATGCTGCAAGAACAACTTTAGAGAGCCAAGGAAATAATTCTAATTCTAATTGCTTTGTAATTTTTTACAAAGCAAAACAGACCCAGATCAGCCACTACAGCATCCTTGTTGAGTTATTTCACTGGGGCTCCCAGGCTATGAACATCTCTCATCAACCTGCTCCACCCTTCTTGATGTATCGACTTTGTCTGTAGCAGACTCCTGCCCAAGCTGCCTTTCTCAGCAGGTTCAGGCATCGTAAGAAGATGTGAATATGCCCGGAGAAGAGGGACTTTATTCCCCAACATCTTTTTTATGTTCATTTTTATTGTAAAAATAGACTACATACAGAGTACACAAAACATGTACAGCTTAATGAAATCTGTATAAAGTTAATATCTCTGTAGAAATAAATCAGTTAAAAAAAAACAGGACAGCAGTCCAGAAATCCTGTACCATGATCACAATTTTTTCTCCCAACTGAAGATTAACAGATAGACTTATGTAGTAAATACTTTCTTTAGTTTTTAAAAAAATGTTTTACTCCCTAGGTGTGTGTACTTAAACACCATAGTTTCATTTTGCCTGGTTTTGAAATTTACAGAAATGGAATAGTTCATTTTGCCTTTGACTTCCTTCAACTTGATGGTGAGATTTGTTCATGATGTTGTCTTTGCTATAGTTCATTTATTTTCATGCTGTATAATACTCTGTTATAGGACTATACTAAAATGTATTTATACATTCTAAAGTTGACATAGATTAAGGCTGTTTCCAGTTTGGTCTGTTACAATGATACTATATTTAATCCTGTCTGGGTCTCCTGTGCACATTTGCAGACATTTCTCTTAGCATATTCCTAGAAGGGGATTTGCTGGGTGATAGGGTAGGTGTAACTTCAACTGTACTAGATAATGTCAAAGAGCTTCAGAAGTAACCATACCACTTTTTTTTTGCTCTTGTCATTCTCTTCAATAATTGATATTTTCAATCATTTTAATTTTAGTCAATCCTGTGGATGTGTAGTAGAAACTCCTTGTGGTTATGTTTTGTGTTTTCCTGATTACTAATACGTTTGAGCCCCTTTTCATATGTTTATTGGCTATTTAAAATTATTCTTTTATAAAGTGTCCAAATCTTTTGCCTGTATTACTATTAAGTTGTCTTTTTTCTATTTGATTTGCAGGAATATTTTATACACTTTGGAGGAGTTTTCTGTGAGTTATATGTCACACATGTCTTCTCCCATTCTGTAACTTGCTCTTTCACTCTCTTAATGGTGTCTTGGTGAACAGAATTCTTAATGTAATCCAGTTCAATAATTTCCTTATGGGTTGTTCTTTTTCTGCCCAGATTAAGAAATATTTTTCTACCCTGAGATAATAATAGGATTCTCTGTAAGAGTAATTTGTAACAGCTTTGTTATTTTGCTACATAGTTAAAATTTTTTTAAATAAGTTTTAAATTGATTTTAGAGAGAGAGAGGAAAGGAGAGGGAGAGAGAGACAGAGATGACATTGATGAGAGAGAACATCAATTGGCTGCCTCCTGCATGCTCCCTACTGAGATCAGTCACAACCTGGGCATGTGTCCCGACCTGGAATCGAACTGGTGCCCTCTTGGTGCATGGGTCGATGCTCAACCACTGAGCCACACCAGCCAAGCAGAGTGTTTTGGGGTTTTTTATGTCTGTATAGTTTTGCCTTTTCCAGAATTCCTATTTATAAACCTGGAATATCTCTTCATTTATTTCATTCTTCTT